ATATACTTTAATTAAAAAATACTTTATTGCTAAAAAAATGCTAACCATCATCTGAGCCTTCAGTGAGTCATAATCTTTTTGCTAGTGGAGGGTCTTGCCTTGATGCTGATGGCTGCTGACTGATTAGGGTGGTGGTTGCTGAAGGCTGGGGTAGCTGGGTAGCTGTGGCAATCTCTTAAGATAAGACAACAATGAAGTTTGCCATATCGACTAACTCTTCCTTTCATTTGAACACTTAAAGGCCTCTGTAGGTTTATTAACTGGCCTAATTTTTCACTATTCTTGTGTCTCAGGGAATAGGGAGGCACAAGGTTGGTGGAACAGTCAGAACACACATAACATTTCTGATTAAGATTGTGGTCTTATATGAGCTTTGTTAATGGAGCCTCAAAATAATCACAATAGTAACATCAGAGATCACTGATCACAGATCACCATAAAGATAAAAACAAACAAACCCGTTGCCATGAGTCCATTCCAATTCATAGCGACCCTATAGGACAAGGACAGAGTAGAACTGCCCCACAGAGTTTCCAAGAAGTAGGTGGTGGATTCAAACTGCCGATCTTTTGATTAGCAGCGGGTGTCTTAACTGCTGCACCACCTGGGCTCCATAATAGATAAAATAATAAGAAGTTTGAAATATTGCAAGCATTACCAAAATGTGACACAGAGACACAAAGTGAGCACATGCTGCTGGCAAAATGGCGCTGACAGATGTGCTCAACCCAGGGTTGCCACGAACCTTCAATTTCTAAAAAAGTAGTACTTGAGAAGCGCAATAAAACGAGATATGCCTGTATACTTGATAACACAGTTTCCTCTTTCCTCCTAAAATGTCTTGAGACCCTCACTATTTTTATTTTAGTTCCTTGAGTTCTTGCATTTGAACCTGTTACTGTTTGTTTCTGCCTAGAATACTCGTTTCTCCACCTTCCTAAACGCCAATACAAACTTCAGATTTTAATTAAATCACCCTGTCCCACACACCCAGGGCACAGAGAGGTTAAGACAAATGAAGATTAAAGAGGTGGAGTCATATGGATTAAATTAAGACATTTCAGAAAATCCACATAATGATGCTGCCAATACTGTAAATGTAGAGAAGGAATTAAAATTAGAGAAGATGCAACTGGACCAATCCTTTTAAAATGTACAACAGTAACTTTATGCTGCACACAGAAATGATGTTACTGAAATTGGATAGGCTTCAACTAAGATAAAATATATCAATTGCTATTCTCCAGGTTTGGGGTTACCGTGTACAGTATTTTGTCTACTCTACGTGAAAATCCTTACTTAGTAAAACTTTTGCAGGTTCTGGTTTAACAATAAAAAAAGACACCCTGTTCCCATTGCTGCTCTCCCCAAACTGGGTAGTTTTTCTTGCTAGGGTTCGAGTTCCCAGAATGCTCTGAACTTTCTTTATATCATTGTTGTTTAATGGTAACATCGTCTCACTGAAAGTTTTGAAGCCAACAGCTATGGATCATATCTGTCCAAGTTGATGTTGTGTTCCAAACTTTGAGTACAGTGCCTGAACTATAAATGTGATGAATAATGAACGAGTATAAAGGAATTAATCAAATATATCAACTTACCAGTTATTTGTTGTGTAGATCCATTTAACCCCGTCATTCCATTAATTTCTCGAAATGTTACGAACTGTCCTGTCTCAAGTTTGTGAGGATGATTTTCAAGGCAAGTGACAATGCCAGGATTAGCCTATAAATAAAAGAGCAATATATTAAAAAACAAATTTGTGTATTCCTATATACTACAAATTCCAAATTTCACACAACAACGACTATATGTTACCATAAAATTTTCACAACAACGACTCCAAGCCATTCTTGTCCTTAATAAAACAAGCCTTTAATGCATTGTCACGAAATAATGATCAACTTGTTTAAATCATCAACATAAACAATAAAAATTCTATATTTGGGATGGACTGTTTAGGGACTACACACAGAAACTTAAAATATTTCTCACTTGGAAGATCAAAGAAATGTAAGGACAAATGATGGAGATATAAAGCAAGGAAACAGGCAGCTTACAGCTTGCCCAATACTATAAAGTAAAGAAATAATCTGTAGCCCAGCTTATCAGGCTAAGAAGAAAGGAACTTGCTTATATTGCCAAAGAGGATGCATGGGATAGGTGAAAGAAGAGGAATTTCCTAATTACAGATAATCCTACACACTGTAGGATAAACTATTATCACATTAAAATGATAATAATTTAATCTACATCAAATCTAATGAAATTAACATTCTTTCTGCCTCTTGCAATTTTGTAGGTTCTAAATATTCTTTTGCTGCTTAATGATATGAATAAAAATATTAAAAATAATCCAACAAATACACAGATAAAAGTAAAGTGAGTTTGCTGATATCTCAAGATATAAGAATATAATTCATTGAGTCATAAGACTTTAATAAGGAAAAATAATTTACTGATAAATAGGAACATTAAAAATATTTTCTAATTCATCATGGATAACCTCCTTATTTCCTGTACTATTCAATGAAGGAAAATACCAACGAAATACAAGAACCCATATTATCTCTTGGAGCTTATTCTAAAAGTGTGATATTCTGGGAAATACACTAAAAACAACTAGAAAAGATAGAAGGTTGACTAAGCATTAATATGCCTGAAAGAATACCTTAGGTGGAATAATAAACCACCCTGAGAGAAGAAAGACACACAGATGATTTTTCAATGAATCTTTCTTAAAAGGGGATGAGAAAGGCATACTGGGTTAAAAAAAAAAAAGAATAAAGATAGAAGCACAAATACTAATAAGTCAAAGTATATTTGGCTTCTTTTTGGCTTTGATGTAATTTGATTACAAAGAGTACAAACAAATCATTTAAGCTAAAAAGAGAGTAGTAAAAAAGGGATCACATGAACTCTCTAACTCCTTTAGGGAATAAGATGTTATCAAGAGAGTTTGGTTAGAAAATTCAGACTCTTTTGATTCAAAGGTTAATTCTTAAACTTTCTTTCCCTTCTAAATAGTTTTAGAAATATAACAAATTAAAAAAGTTCTTGTCTAAGATGATTTAGGTGTGCCTCTTCCTGGAGTTAGAGGATACTCTCAAGATACTCTTAACAATTAATTAATATTCTAACTTCAGCTTAGTTTTAATATAACGTAACCAGAAAATATAACAAAATAGTCCCTCATCAATTATTTTAAAACATTGTAAAAAAAAAAAAACACTGCATACATATAATATTTTGCTAATACCACTTTCATGAAAACAGCAGTCACATTAATTTTTAAAAAAACATCATTTTTATCAAATAATGTTCAACAATACAACCATACTTGCGTTATGCTTGAAATAAAAATTTCTTTTGGTTCTTCTCCTGTTGTATCTAAAACTTCAAATTCATCACCGAAATCACAAAACAACCGTGACCAAATTCCATGTACATCTGCACTGATGAACTGTGAAATGACAAAAAAACCTCAAGCTTATTTACATAAAGAAAAAAAAACCTAGTTCAAATATCTTAGGCCCTTTTGTGACAATTTCATTTGTAATTAGTGGTTAAGAGCCGCTGGCTAACCAAAAGGTTGGCAGTTCGAACCCACCAGGCGTTCCTTGGAAACTCTATGGGGCAGTTCTACTCTGCCCTATAGGGTCGCTATGGGTTGGAACTGACTTGACAGCAATGGGTTTTTATGTCTTTTAGGATATAAAGTGAATCACAAACAGGATAAATTATTCGTCTGTAGATTGTGTTAGGAATCAAGGATTTTGATATTTGGTGACTAGATATCCAGTGTAATAAAATTATATCTTCAGAAGCAAGCAACATCAGCATATCATTTTTTTTTTTTAAATATTGTTGTTGACAATATACACAGCAAAACATACATCATTTCAACCATTTCTACATGTAGAATTCAGTGATACTAATTACATTCTTTGGGCTGTGCAACCATTTTCACCCTCCTTTTCAGAGTTGTTCTTCTCTCATTAACATAAACTCACTGTCCCCTAAGGTTCCTATCTAATCTTTCAAGTTGCTGTTGTCACTTTGATCCTATATAGACAGCTCTTAAAAGAGCTTAAAGTTCAAGGCACACATTTTTTACTAGTTAAGCTAAACTACTGTTTGGTTTTAAGAAGACTTCAGGGGATATTTTTGGTTTAAAGTTTAAAGATTATCTCAGGGTAATAGTTTCAGGAATGTGTCCAGCCTCCATGGCTCTAGAAAGTCTGGACTCCATGAGAATTTGAAATTTTGTTCTGCATTTTACCCCTTTTGATCAGGATTCTCCTATAGAATCTTTAATCAAAGTGTTCAGTAATGGTAGCCGGGCACCATCAGTTCTTCTGGTCTCATGGCCAAGGAGGGAGATGCTCATGGAGGCAATTAGCCACACATTACCTATACTCCTCCTATTCCTGACTCTCATTCTTCCTCTGTAACTCAATTCCTCTGTTCCTCAATTGTTGTGCTGTGGATGGCTGCTTAAAAGCTTTTAAGACTCTAGGAGGTACTACATAATGAGCAAGGAGGTAGAACAGATGCACTAAACACATAAGGTCAATTAACTGGGATAGCCCATGAAACCATGACCTTAATCCTCCAAACCAAGGAACCAAATCCCATAAGGTTTTTTGCTGTACACAAGCAGCCTCAGCAGCTACTCTTTTTTTGGTCATTGTTGTAAATACATCTATCACACAGTTTTTGCCAATTCAACTTTTTACAGGTGTACAACTAATTGACAGTAATTACAATAATTGGCTGTGCAATCCTACCCGTAATCAATGCGATATTTCCATCATCGTTAACCCTCCCTTTCCCCCTCCCTTCCGCACCTGAAAACCACCAAACATTCTATGATTTTTTTAGTAACAAAAATTCCTGCCTAGCCATAAAAATCAACTAGAATATATAAGAAACAGATATCTTGGTTGAATGGTCTAGCAGTTAATTTTTACTTGTTAAACTAAGGAAGAATGGAGTGTCCATTCACCAAAAACAGTAGAGTAAATGGAAAACAGAACACAGCCAAACGGTGAGTGGAATAAAAAGAAAAAAAGGCTGAAGAACTGACCGTGCAAATCAAAGCCATAAAAGGTAAAAATCAGATGCTTAAACACAATCATAAATGTTTTATTAGAAGTAATTTTTATAACACATTCACTGTCTCCATTCTAAGAACTGGTAAAAGAAGTTGTTTTTGTGATAAAAGTTATTTTTAGAGCTATCAGGTAACAAAGAGAAACTCTTATGTGTAACGGATATAATCCTATATAAAGTGATATTTTTCTACTAAAAATTAAAGTCTATTATATTTGAGTATAGAAATATATCCCATTATAATAATTTATACCATCTACTACGTTGGGAAAACTGCTGCAAAAAACCTATTTTAAGTGTTAAAAAGCAAACAAGTCACTTTGAGGACTAACATGCGCCTGACCCAAGCCATGGTATTTTCAATAGCCTCATACGCATGCGAAAGCTGGACAATGAATAAGGAAACCAAAGAAGAACTGATGTCTTTGATTTATGGTGTTGGTGAAGAATACTGAATATACCATGGACTGCCAGAAGAATGAACAAATCTGTCTCAGAAGAAGTATAGCCAGAATGCTCCTTAGAAGCGAGGACAACGAAACTTCATCTCATCTACTCTGGACAAGTTATCAAAATGGAAGAGTCCCTGGAGGAGGATATCGTGCTTGGTAGTGGAAGAGAGGAAGACCCTCAACGAGATGGAATGACACAGTGGCTGCAATGATGGGCTCAAGCACAGCAACGATTGTGAGGATGGCACAGGACCGGGCAGTGTTTCATTCTGTTGTACATAGGGTTGCTATGAGTTGGAACTGACTGGACGGGACCTAACAACAACATTATACAAAGCACAGGGATGGATAACAGAAGACTACCTCCCCCTTTATCATGTGTCGTCTTTACTGGTCAAAATAGGAACATCTGACATTTTTTATGAGACATAAAATTGAGAAGGATTTTGGAAGTTTTTTTTTTTTTTTTTAAGTTTAAAAGCTGCTAACTCCAGGGACAATTTCTTTCTTTCCAAATTAAAAGACAACTCAATAGTGTACTGATATATGGATCAATGATATAAACTAATATTTTAGCTTATGACATATTCTTTTAATTATCTCTGGCAAATCTTACTCTTTAATTTAAAGTACTTACCTAACTTTTTTTTTTATACTTATTTAAGTCTCTAAAGGCCTCCAAAAGCTAGACTGTCTTGTTTTGTTTCTATCAGTATTTCAAAACTTCTCTGCTCTATGATAAATTTACTGACTATTCTGTCTTATTCACCTGTTAAATTGGGAGCCACAGCACAAATGTTTTACAGAAATGTAAACATTCTGTGTAAATACCACAATCCAAAAATTTTCAGCACATCTGTATTATACAGTATGTTTTGGCTTAGTGCCTTATCTCAGCGGAACAAATGGCAGGATGTGGAGTTAGTAACATGTATTCAATAGCAGGAGAAGAATTTGATTTTTTCCCATCTAAACCTCTCCCAAGCTTCCGCATCTAAATTAATGTCACCACCATTCACATAATTAGACTGGACAAACAACTATGAGTCATTCTTGATTGCTCCTTCCTTCACAACTCACATCCTTCCATCCATGAGTTCTGTCCATCATTTTACAAAAATCCAAACCAAACGCACTGCCGTTGAGTCGATTCTGACTCACGGCAACCCTATGTGTTACAAAGTAGAACTGTTCTATAAGGTTTTCATGGCTATAAACTTATAGAAGTAGATTGCCAGATCTTTCTTCTGTAGTGCTGCTGGGTGGGTTCAAACTGCAAACCTTTATGTCAGGAGTTGAGCACAAACATTTTGTGCCACCCAGGGACCTCCTTTTTACCAAGGATACCTAGAATTCAATGACTTTGCACAATCTATTCCCACCTCTTGTCTAAGAATCAGTATCTCTTACCTGGACTACTGCAATGGTCTCTAACTGGTCTAACTGTCAGTACTCTACACTTAGAACCCACTGGTTCTCTTTCTTTTGATATCAGGACTCCTTCATACTCTCTTAAAAATGATTAAGGACTCCAAAGAACTTTTGTTGATGTGGGTTATATCTACTGACATTTACTGTTAGAAATTAAAGCTGACAAAAATTTAAAATACAAGACTACAGAAACACACTTTCCAACAGCTGTCAGAGAAATGACACCATCACACATCATATAGTCTCTGGAAAACTCCACTGTGGCCTGGGAGACAATAAGAGTGAAAAAAGGCAAATGACATCTCAGTAACATTATGAAAATAGTTTTGACTTCGCAAACCCCCAGAAAGGGTCTAAGTGACTTGAGACCACACTCTGAAAACTGTTGCTCTAGTCTATTTTCCATACAGCACAGAGTGATCTTTAAAATATAAGATAAAAAACCACATGCTTAAAACGCAAATTTCCTTAAAGGTGTTTCAAGATCTGGCCCTCTATCTACTTCTCCAAATCTAATGTTTTGTTATCTTTTGGTTCTACCACTCTCTTCTCTTTATCTAAGTGCATTCTGGTACTGCTTCCCTCTTGCTGTTCCTCAAACACACCAAGCTCATTTTCTTTTTTTGCTTTTTGAGATGGTAAGTTAAATGTCACATTAGGAAGAGAATTTTAACCCAACTGTTTTATTCCAAATTCATGTTATTTCCACTACAACACACTTCCTCCCAGATGTTTACTGACAACTTGCTATATGCCAAAGATGTCCTATATTATACTTCATTTATTCTTCACAACCACCTTATAAAATCTGCAGTTAAAAAAACTTCAAGTATGGCATCTAGTCAAGATATAGTCTAACTAGCTATGGTAACTTTTTGAACTTCAGTTTCTCCATCTATCAAACAAGGAATCTGAACTTAATTATCTGTAGGGTCACTTTTGAGTCTAATCTCAGAGGACCATATTATTTTCTGTCATTCTTCCTATTCTGTAATAGCAATTTTACTCTGCCTTCATAAAATCAAAAGAAGTTTATTTCTCAAACCTATCATACATATTAGTTAACTGTATGTCTGCTAGCCAGCTATATTCTATAGAAATATGTTCACCAAGTTTAATTCCAGGGAGTTATCTGGGTCAGTAGTCAGAGAAGTATTACTGCTGAGGTCAAACAAAAATTGCTATCCTTGGCAACCCCCAGGAAAAAAAAGAGGCCCAACAGTTGGTGGACCTGTTTGGTTACTAGAGACAACATATGCTACATTTGGGCACTGTTTTGACTCCCACAGTCAAGGTTAGGTCCCTGAGTGATGCAAACAGCTTGTGCTTGACTATAATCTAAAGGATGGCAGTTTGTACCCACCAAGCAGTGTCTCAGAGGAAAGGTCTACTGATTCACTTCCGTAAAGATTACAGTCATGAGTTGGAATTATCAGTTTTTTGGTTTTAGTCAAGGTTACCTGCA